CAACTGACAAAGTACAAAAGAAAATGATTAGGTTTCATCATCTGAAGGAAGGTTTAAAGAAGGTGCAATTGTTTCCTTCAAATATTCTTTATTAATATTTATGAAACTGTAATTCTGTCCATTTGTTATATGCAGTGAGTATTCTATCATTAGCTCATTGTAAAAAAAAAAAATAAATAAAATAAATTGGTTTAGGGTCATAACTTTGTCAGGTTTTACACAGAACTGTTACAAATGACAGTAGCACGTTCAAATCCCCTGCTAACATATACTACACTGAGCTTTTACTCTTCATACAGAGGAGTTATACAAAAACACCTATATACCTATTACTTAAGTAGAGATTTTATACTTTAAATTAGGGGACAGGAGTTCTTTCAAATGAACAAATGAGCAGAGATGTCAAAGCAAAAGGTAACACAAAATGAAGTTTCTTTGCTAAGTCCTGTCTGTTGCTTTCCATTCCTGATGATGAAAGATACGTAAAAGCCAATAGGTGGACATGCCCCAAGGATACCCTACAAACATAGATTACTGTTTTTTGCAGTCAATACAAGCTGTCTGCTTAATAGAAAGGGAGGATATTATCTGGAGTTAGACCAAGCAAACAAATAGAATAGCAATTTGCTCTACTGCTTTGTAACCAGCAGTAATCAGTGCATCCTGATTTTTCTCATTTTAGGAAAAAGTCTGGAATAATCCATGATTATTATCCATGATTCAAGTTTAAAGAAAAAAAATCTGTTCTGCAAACACATTCAGTTTTTCTCTTCTTTGAGCGTCCAGATTTACACTTCATAATCAGAAAAAATATTATTAGGGATGAAATGCAAGACACCATCCTAGAGAAAATAAGAGTTGCATCTGTGGTCCTGAATCCACTGTTCTTAGCAGTAGACATAGCAGTATAGATGAGAGCAGCACATACAATCAAAGCAATTGTGCCACGATTGCAGTCTGAGGTAACGCTAGGAGGAAGGCCAGTGATGTGAGTAACAGGAAAGTGCAGTACGTGCATTTCAGTGGGGGGTTTGCAGCTGTTTTGCATAAAGCAGTCAGTATGGCAGTCAGGTAACCCACAGTCAAATCTTTGTCAAACACCAACAACAACCTGGGAAGATGTTGGCCTTCGAGTCACCTGCAGATGTAGAAACGCAGCTTTGAAACCAGAGTCAGAATTAGCTACAGTGGTCTACCTTGTAGCTACCAACTCAGCAATGCAGTTTTGGAAATGAGTTTGTCTAACAAGGAAAAAGCCAGGAGAACAAGGGGAAGGATATTTAAGGATTTGGATTTCAAGTTTGTGTGTGTATTTGCACAGTCGTCCAACCATCCACCATTTATCTGCATTTTCTGGGAATTTCTAAGGCTATTGTTATCATGTACAGATACATTTTTTGAGATCAACATCTTGCATATAGTTTGTTGGATGCTGTTATTATATATAATTGTTGCAGGGTAAATCTTACTGTAAATTCTGTAACATTAATGTTCTGCGGGATATTCCTCTAAACTTTTTCTTAATGTTCTTCAAGAGAAAACATTAATCTTGTGCAACTTCTGTGTCATATAGTAAAGGTTCATACTTTAAACTCTCTCCCAAGGACGTATACAGAATTTTTACGCTCAAATAGTAAGATTTATATGTATGCGTTTAGGTCTGGAAGATGATCATGGTAAAGTCCATCACACTTTACCAACAAACACAACTAGAAGGAAAATAAAGATTTATGGGGAACAAGGAACATTCCCCATTGTTTACCTTTATTTTTTTCAGAACTGTAAGGAAGAAAAAATATACTGGAGCAAGAAAAAGGCTGACCTCTGTCTGAGCCCAGCCTGCTGAGTTCAAAAGTCACACCACCCGTAGAGAAATAGAAACCACCTGACTGAGCTCAGGAAAGTCAGCAGCATCTGCCTGGCTGCAAAGTAGTAGTCAGCATTACTGCTTCCAACTGCATGGGAAAGGTGGGGAGACAGAATGGCCCATCCAGTTTGAAAAAAGAAAAAAAAGAAAAAGGTGTCTTTATCAGAAATTGAGTTTACCTCCTAATTAAATGCTTTTTAGAGAAAGGCAGAGTGAAAACTATTCCTATTGTGTTGTACCTTGTGACAATGAAGCACACAGCATAGAGGGAATTTGTACCTAGCAGGTGATCTGATGGCCAGGCTCTTTCCCCAAGAGAATTGATAACTAGTAGGGCATTCCTAAAGACCTACAAATGTACAAAGGGGAATAATCTGGGCAAAAATTATCTGTGATGAAACCATTAGACCTTTAAAAGACAAGATGAAATCTCCTCTAGATTTCTGTTGTATTTTACCTGATTTTATCTGAATTTTTATCCTGTTATTTTTAGTGATGATATTTGGAGCCCATTAAGTAGAACAGCATTTATATTTAGTCAGGTATTTAATATTTAATGTTGGCTTTCTGGGGTATATACATGATGGCAGTGCAAAGTTAATTGAATATAGAGTAGTTGGAGTCTGGTGAAAATGTTGGAAGGATCAAACTGGAACTGTAATAACAGTAGCAGTAGCATTTCTGGAAGTCTGAAATACGGTGTTGTGCCTAAGAAGAGTGCTTTCAATAGCTCACGCTCAAAAAGCCAGCCATACGGGGAGAAAAACAGCAGAAATAATTTCAGGTGGAAAATGAACCAATAAATATTCCATAACCCACCTCCAGCTTTTTTCAGAGATTATGATGGCAATTAGGACAGTATATACTGTTTCTTTGATACCATGTACAGCTGCCAGGACTGCCTGTTCTCTTCGGTTATTCAGTTCATAAAATGCACTATGTTCAAATCACGCATTTATAAGCGGTTTTCTGCTAGAACTGCATCAAATGAAAGCCATATTGCTGGCTTAAATGTAATTCAGTTCATCCTTGTGTCAGGATGTTTTTTATATATGTAACAAGAAGGAAATGAAAAGCTTAAAAAAATATTAGTCATCATGAGATTCTTTTAATATCATCAGCAGTACCATAAAGCCAGCTGATAAACTGCACACCATTCAGAAGAAAGAAATAGAATGAAATTAGTATTATAGTACATCAGATTAATCGTAGCCCTGGGTTGCTCTCATTTTATGGAAAATAAAACTTGACTGTTTCAGATTTTAAAGTTTCTTCTCAGCCTTTAAGGTTATCTGCTTCAAGAGGCAAGTAACTAGCCTGTATGCTGAGAAAAGAATATAGGAGTTTTGGTTTGTGGGGTTGGTAAATTTTTGTCATTGTTTCTAAATGACAGCAAAGCAGCATTGATGAGTTGGATCCAGATGGTTAGCGATAACACTTCATAATAGCAACCTAATGAAGCTTTTTAGTGCTGGTGACAGGTAAATGCTTGAAAGGCAGGGAAGAAGCTCCAATAAATAATTTGAAAATCTGTCTGTGTTCTTACTTACAGAATTATTGCTTTTCATAATAGCATAATGGCAGAGCAAAGTATAGGTGACAAAATGGTGAGAAAAGAGGAACTCTCTCTGGAGCTGGTAGGATGTGCAGTGGAACTGCAGGCTTTTTTTTACTTCTTGTGAGATGAATAGCTACTTAACAGCCATTAGTCTTCTCAGAGACTTGGGATTTAAAATTCTTTTTTGATGTAGTCAGTCTGAACAGATATCAGCAGCTAAAATTAGAGAGAGATCAAGATTTTCCTCTGTGCAAGCAGAGAATAACAGTTTTGGAGTGCTTAGACTGAATGAAGAAAGTTCTGGGATCTCTCATGTGGGCTTTCACCCTGGCTATATGTGGAGGATGCAACCAGAAGTCTGGCACAACCTTTGCAATAAGTGGGAAATCTGGTTGACTCTTACAAAGGGGAAGAGACCAGCCCTAATCTTAATTTCACTTAAAAGAAAAAAGAAAGAAAAGAAGCTGTCTATTTCTGTTAACATTTTCTACTGTGAATTTTCCAAACCGAAATGGCTGGGAAAGTGTTGTCAATTTTTCGTGTAGGCAGTTTTTCTGGAGCGTACCTCTGTGGCACCACTGAATGCCTTCCTGAAGCTGGTGGCATTAGCAGTCCTCATAGCAGGACACATGTTTTTTAGATGTGATCTACTTCAGGCCCCGACTGGAAGAAAAGCCCTCCAAAGCCTCACTGACATTGGATTTTTTGCTGCTTCCCAATCTGCCTGGCAAAACAAAAGAAATAAAGGGACATGAAATTAAAGTCTAGAACATGTATGCTGTAATAATAATAAAATAGGCTACATTAATGGAAAGTCACTGAGAAAAGATTCAGCAACCTAGTAACAATAAGCATTGCTGAAAGCACACAATTTAAATGGTGTGGAATGAGGTATAAAGGCAGTGTGAGGAAACCAAAGCAAAGAATCTTGCAAGCAATTTATTTAGGCTGAATGTTATTATGCAAATAAAGCATTTCACTGCAAAGCAGCTGAGATGCATCCTTTATTATTATTTTCTGCTAAAAGAGAAAGTATCCAGTGGTTATTCACAGAGCATTACTGAAGAGAAGCGTGGTGACAGGACAAGGAAAAGTGATTTCAAGCTTAAAGAGAGTAGATTTAGGTTGGATATATGGAAAAAGTCTTTTACAGTGTGTGGTGTGAGGAAGTGGAACAGGTTGCCTGGAAAAGTGGTGGATGCCTCATCCCTGGAGACATTCAAGGTCAGCCTGGACGGGGCTCTGAGCAACCTGCTCTAGCTGGGGTGTCCCTGTTCATTGCAGGGGAGTTGGATTGAATGACCTTTAAAGATCCGTTCCAACTCTAAGGGTTCTATGATTCTATGATTCTGCCATCTCGCTTGATTCACTGTGGTTATTTTGGCCATGAACTCTGACTTAAGACTGCTGCACAGTCTTGGTTTTCTAATAGATGCTGATACTGGATTGATTGCGAATAAAAAATCACATAACAGTCCTCTTCCCTCTTTTCCCTGGTTACCTGGTTTCCTTCTGAGGCTCTGCTGGAAGAAATTCTGTGCCTTCATGCTAATGAAAACATTTCTCACTTCTCAGTTTCTACAGATCAAGTGATGAGATGCCACGTGTGAACCCCCTGAAGGCTAAGAAGACAAACTCTGACTTCCCCACAGAAAATTGCGAACTGCAGTTTCTTACTGGCTTGTAACACCTTTGATTCAATTTGTATGAAAATTAAATTTACTTATTAAAATGAACATTAATGTTCAAATATTAGAAATTCCATTTCTTATATGTTCTAAGCTGTACAATTGTCAGATTTTTATGGTTTAGATTGTAAATGTGTTTTTCTCTGGCTAATTATTGGTATTATTTTTTTAATTTTGATGTCTTAAAAGCCAATGTACTGTATCATAATATTATGAAGGACATATTTAACAGGTGTGGGAAACACTGTATACAAATGTATATTTCTAAAAGCTATTTTTATGATTAGCATGTTTTACCCTATTTAGAGTCAGGTGTTATTGCCCTTCCTTGTTTACAGCTTAATTCAAACAAGATCATTATGATTAGTGACACACTTAAAAACACTGTATGCTATTTTCCATTTTTTATTTATTGTATTTGTCATCTAAAGTAACCATGTTTACTAAACAGGCTTAGTTGCTAAAAAGTAAATATGTCAAAATATGAAAGCAATCTTTGATAAACTGTAAATTGGATCCTTTTGTTCATCCCTTTCTTCAGATAAGCGCTCTGTGATGCCACGCACTATGCAGTTGTTGCAGCAGTATCTGCACGTCTCTAAAGGCAGTTTCTTGCTGCCATATGGAAAGTTTACATGACAGTCAGTCTCCTCCCCAGTCAGGTAAATTACCTATGCTGCCAATATTTGAGAGCCTGAGTTGGCTTACTGATTACTTCTTTGTTTCATTTCCTGGCAGCAGTCTGTCCACTCCCCGACCCCAAAAGCCTTCCTAAAAGCCTGAAGTTGGAATAATTATTACAGGTGTCCTAGGGGTAATGTCAGCATCAAATTTCTTAATAAATCATATTTCCTTTCAAATAGAATGGATGCACTATTTCTCTTTTGTTACTAAGATACTAAGAGTATCAAAGCACATCTGATATGGGTACAAGTTCTTATCTAAGGAGAGTATCAACTCATTAACCATCTGAAAGCTAGGCCTCCTTAGTGCTGCAGATGACACGAAACAAGGAAGAAATGTTGATTTACATCCACATGTGAGATATACTCTGAGAGACATATCTTTGAAGTGATTGTAGGGGCAAAAAAGTTAAAGCAATAGCCTTCCAATAGTGTGAATGTAAATATTTTAACCAGTCAGATGGAGCTCCGACCCAGTTTCATAGCATTGTGCAAAACAACCCTAACTGCTATCATAGAATCATAGAATGGCCTGGGCTAAAAAGGGCCACAATGATCATCTATTTTCAACCCTCAGCTATGTGCAGGGTCACCAACCACAGACCAGGCTGCCCAGAGCCACATCCAGCCTGGCCTTGAATGCCTCCAGGGATGGGGCACCCACAACCTCCTTGGGCAACCTGTTCCAGTGTGTCACCATCCTCTGTGTGAAAACCTTCCTCCTAACATCTAACCTAAACTTACCCTGTCTCAGTTTAAAACCATTCCCCCTCACAATCCACCCTCATAAACAGCCATTGCCCCTGCTGTTTATAAGCTCCCTTCAAGTGTTGGAAGGCCACAATGAGGTCTCCCCAGAGCCTTCTCTTCTCTAAGCTAATCTGTTGCCGTGCTATTTGGTATCCAACTCCACACAGATGAACCTTTACCTTGCTCTTATAATCATTCTGTATAGGCTAAAAGAAAGATAAAAATGAAAGCATTGAAGAGGCTCTTTAACAGATCAGTCCTTCAATATCTATAAAAAACATTTGTTTGTAAGATGATAGGCTCACCACTAAAAATTAGGGTTATGAAAGAGTAGTATAATTAGCCACACCTGACCATTAGCAATTACAGCCTCAGAATCTGCCAAGGGGGACTGTTCCAGAAAAGGGAGATAATATTATTTCCATCTAAGAGAAATGTTAGCACAAATCAAAGGATGAAATATTTCCCCATTTTCTCCACTACTTCTCCATATAGTATAGATTATGCACATCTTTAATAGCCAAAACGCAACAAGAATTGTCATTTGGGGATCTCTGTCTTTGGCTGGCAGTTAAAACAAGTCCAGATCTTAGTGGACATTTGCCCATTTAAGAAACTGCTGACTGACTCTAAAAGACATAGAATGTCATCCAAACAGATCAGCTTTTATATATGGGAAACTGCTAGGTACATCTTTGCTTTACCACCTCCATTCTAAGTGACCAAATAATCACCGAGAAGCACTCCGATTTTTAAAAACATCTTCCCAGTAGTATCTTATGATCATATATTCAAAGAAATGATTTCATAGGCTTAATGTCAACCCTTCTTCATGCCACAGTTTAAGTCCTGAATAGATTTTGAACACAAAAAGTCACCTTTGATAAGGTCATGAGACACTGTTTCATTTGCAAGCCAGAAGCTTCCTTTGCCATGCAGTCTATTACTAGCAAGGTTTCTTAACGGCATGTTTGCTTCAAATCACTGCAGAGGATTCTGGTAGCTTCAGCAGAGCTTGACAGTTCTATACCTATGTATGCAGTACACTCAGTGTTGTCTGCCATCAAAACATATACATATTTTTCATTGGTTTTGTTACTTGTATGGAGTTTTTTCATTTTGTGTTTTTGTTTTGAGGTTGTTCATCCCTTGTAATGGGGAAGAACAGGAAACATAAAGGATCTTGTCAAGTAGTTTGGCTAGTAAACAGTCATAAAATGAGTAGTCCTGAATTAAATTAATTCATTTTCAACAAAGACTTACATCCTCTGTGAATTTTGAGTATTTGTTTCAAGCCTGTGCAGCTGCATGATGGAAAATATTTACTAAAAAAGGCTTTAAAATTTGGATCAATCAATAAAAAATATTTTTACTTTTGTAAACTCTTGTATTACATATTGTCAATGTCCCTGTTAGTTTTGTCTGTAGATCAACTTTTAGTTCTGAAAAGTCACTGTAATAAAACTATGTAGATAAGAGCTACAATATTGTAAGCAGTCATGTTTTTAATCAACACCACTGCAAGTCAAAATTAAAGCATTTGGGGTTTTCCCATGTCAAGCAGATTGATGTTTCATTACAGTTTTCTTTAAAATGCTGTAACATAATTTTTACATGTCTGTAAATAAATATTTTCTCTGATTTATGCACTAACTCAGTTTTGTAATTTTTTCTGCTAACATCTGATAGTAAGAAACTCTCCGGGACAAATATATTTCTCTCATGGAAAAATACTGTTTAGAGTTTTGTGAGAATAGTGTGTTTCCATACAATATTCTCGCAGCTTTCCAAAGCAGAACAAATGGAAGCAGAAATCCATAGCAACAAGTTCTTATGTAAATGGAAAGACACAAATGTGATAAACACTTCTATATTTTTAACAGTTTGAGAAACTTGAAGAGCATTCCTGTGTTGAAAGATGTCTGAGATGTGACTATTTTCCTGAAAACAGAAATTTGTTGGGGTGTGGAGAAGGTCCAGTAGTGAAATTTCACAGAATTTGTGGAAAAGAGAAATGGATTTTATTCATCTTGGAAGCTTTTAAGTTTCATATACTATTAAAGCAGCACAAATTAATTTATGAAATGAATCATTATTCATATATTTATGATATGATGATGAATCATAATTCATTTATCAAATGAATCAAAGAATCATTATTTTTTTCTGTTCAGTATTGAAACTTTTTTTTATTCATTGTTTGTCATTGCCCTCATAAGGTACTGCAATATAGACAAGGTAAGGAAAACTGATCCAGGAAGTCTATGAGAAAGTTTTTTAAATAATACTCAAACTGTTGAAAAGCAAAGCTATCATTAAGTGCATATCGCTTACATATGGTATTTAATTTTCACCTCTGCAAATGTATTCTTTTTGTGACAACTATGCCAAATTTTCCACAAGCTTCATGAATTTTCAAGATTTTATCTGATAAATATTGCTGAAAAAATTGACTGGTATTCTTACGTTCTGTATTGAATGATACTGAGCATGAAGGCAACTCTTGCTGAAACTTAGGCATCAATAAGCCAAGATTGCTGGGAGAGCATCCTGCAGTGTTAGATCAGTAAGAAGTCAAACAACCTACCACTTAATGGGCACCAAAACATTCTGAGCCTCAAAGTCTGCCATTAGGGTCAAAGAAAAATACTTCCTATTTTTTAATCTTTTTGGAAAACAACTGTAAAAATGATGCAAAATTACTAGAAGAGCAGAGGTGTTTCCTATTTAGCTAATGGAATCCCATCTCTTTGCCTTAACTTGGGATGGCTTGAACAGAAGTGTTGAAAACATTTTCTTCTCACTTCTTTCACACAGTAACCTGGTTATATATCTGCATAACTTCAGTCCTGTATACTCCCTGAAATAAACCTTAGTATTTCTCCATAGTAAGAACTTGGAGAAGTCACCCACTCAGATCCAAGAGACACAGATCAGATCTCTATGGCTAGGCTTTCACACAAGGAGAAGGATGCTGGTGAAGCCAAGGAGAGCTGGACATCCTAAATCAGGTGAGAAAAATGCATGTTTTGGCCAGAATGTGACAAATCTTAACAGTTAGTGACTGACAGACATGACGAAGTGATAATCTAAGCCTGCAGAAATGAAAGTCTAGCTAAGGAGATGAGTAAAGATGCAGCAAACATTCTGTGCGCTCAGTAAAATTTGCACAGCTTGTCAAGTTAGTGCTCTAGCTCTAACCGTTGCTCACGTTGCTTACCCCGTTTACAGCATTTACAGAATATACAATGAGCAGTACTGGAAAACTTATAGGAAATCTGCTTAGAATGATCACAAAGTGCTATAGAAAGTATAAAGGATTTGTGATGGTGTTTTTTGTTTTTTGTTTTTTTTTAATATTGGTTTTTCTACCTCATTAGAGATCAAAGGGACTGATGTTTTCTATTGATCTTGGGGTTTCTATAGTATTTATTTGATTAATCTTTCAAAGAAAATTTGTTGTTCCACACTTCTGTGAACAGAATTAATCCACAATTATATTGTTGTGTTTATCAGAAAAAAAATAGTTCTCGTATCACCTCATAAACCCAAACAACCCAACTAAACAAGCAAAAATATTTCTAATATTTATATTTAAAACTTTCTAAGACTATCTTGGCTATTTATATTTAACAGCATAAAGTAATGGAAAAGCTTTGTGTGATCACAACTCTGTGGTGTGAATATTTCCATGATGTCTAGCCATGTATGTAGGAAAAGAAACATACTCCTCCATCGCTTTGTACTTTGGATTATTAGATTTTTTTTCTCTTTGAGACAGCTAATGTTGTAGAAAATAAGCATTTAATTCATCCCTGGGATAACTGCTAATATCAGTCATTAAGTGAGTACCTTCAGTGCCTTCTGTAACCAGATTCTTGAGAAAAAAACATGTAATTGGTGCTAACCGTATGAGGAGTTACAGCAACTGTTAGCATGCTATTTAAAGAAAAGAAGTGTGGTAATTCATATGCAGCATTGCTAGTATATCCGTATTGTAGGAGCTAGTATTGTTCCTTCTGCAGTATTATGCATCAAGGAGAATTCCAGGAGCACAACTTTCTTCTCTATCTTCCAGGGACCACTGTAAGGAAGGAGCAGAAGCTATATGACATAGTACGATAGAATAGAACAGGGAACTGAAACTTGAATGAACATTGTAAATGGTTTACCCGCAGATGACAGGAAACTAATGAAAGAGGATGTGCCTTTGAAGAAATCTCACTCATAGCTTGCCTAGCATGTTCAGTGACTTTTTTCATATCTTTGCCTGTGATGTGAATATTATGACTATTCTTTAAAGAAGTGCTAAACATCTAAATTCCCAAATGATTCAAAGAGCAAAGTATGTGGAAAAATAATGTATCTTTCATAATTTTGCTGTTTAACCACATAATGGGATTTAATTAAGATTTGTTTACTTGGGTTGTTACATTAACTGTAAATCTATGTAAATCATTGATAGGGAAACTCTAGGTGGAATACCAACATTTCTGACAAACTGAATGCCAAATTCCAAGGAAGTGTACAGTGATCCTGTGATAGGAAGGGTTACTTTAAGTGATAATCTGAAGTGATGACAACTGGACACTGCCTCTAGGAAAAATTATATAGACAACATCCCATTCTCTAATCAGTTCCACTGACTGGAAGATCTTGTTTCAGAGGCAACTGGATACTTTTCATTGTATTAGCCTTTTTCCATATGTAAGTGTTTTTACAGCTTACATAGTTTTTACTGTGAAAAATAGGTAAAACAGCTCTCGGGTAAATGAAGTAGCACTAACTTAAACAGGCAATGAATTTAGCTTAATTTTTTATAAGGT